ACACGAGAGGAGAGATCTTCTGCCACCGCCATTCACACAGGTTTACTCCCTGCCTTAGGGGCCCGGGTCCGGGGCCCAGGCGGGCTGACGGCGGACCCGGGGCTTGAACTCAGGCCACAGCAGTGGTAGCTCTGAGCCTAACCCCCTAGGCTATCAGGGAGAACCTAACGCTAGCTTAGCTATATGGAGCCTTTAATGTTTGGTAAGAGGACTCAGAACTACCTGCAGCTGCTTCCTCCAGCCAGTCAGAAGAATTCAGCTACTGCTGTCCTTCCCTCGATGATCACCACCATTCCCTCCTAGTGCCCTGTAGGCACTGAGGGGAGGTGATTTTCTGTGGCACCTCCATTTCTTCATCTGTGACACGAAGAGGACACAAGTATGGGGATTTTCCAGTTCTAAAACACAAGTATGTCTCATCAATGAGTAAGATGTAAGGAAAACCTACATACTTCTGAAAGTAATCCGAATAGTACTTATCCTGAAAAGACTTCTTTTGTGACGACCATGTGTAAAGTCAGTACTTGGAAGTTTTACACTAAACATTGAAGGCCATAGAGTCTGATGGCCTTCTAGAACAAGGTGCTTAGAGGCTGTGTTCTAAAGAAACACTGCCTAGTGGACTTAGTGAGGCAGGCACTGTGGCTGCTGACTGATAAGAATTCGGACAGGCATCTGTGTTTTCAGTTAGCAACTTGCGTGACTGGAGCATCAAACTGGAAGCTCTTATGGGGCTGTCTTTTTGGAGTTTTGTGGTGGCTTCCTGACATGGGCGTCATTGATGAAATCACTGGCCCTTGCTGATGAGCGCCACCTAGAGCCTCTCCCCTTCACAGAACACTAGTGTTTTCTAACTCTGACAAACACATATATTGGATCAAAAAATAAAAAAGAAAAAAAAAAGTTTATTGACCTGTTTATTTTTCCTCGAACACCTTTATAAAGAACCAAGTTTATGACCATATCATTTTCTTTCTTTCTGAAGAGCTTGTCATCATAATCTGAACATTATCAGCTATTGTTTCAATAGATTAGGCAGATATAGTACTATTTGTTGATGTGCTAAAAGCGAGATATTTGGAATCAGGTGAAAATCTAGAAGGCACAAGTCAATTACATGAGCAGATCTTGCCTTTCTATGTTGTCCTCTCTTCTCTTAACTCACATCTATGGGTAACATGTAACTGACCAGGAAAAAAACTCAATTGTGTGCTGTAATTTTGTTAGCAGAAAATAACCTGCTGTTCTCTGCAGCCCCAATCCCACTAGTTCTGAACTCTTTCAATGAGCACATCTGCCATCAGGGTACTTCTTTCTTCTTTTTACTTATTTACTTTAAAAATAAAATACATTGTGGTACATCCTTGTTACTTTTGGACAGTGCAGGGTTTCTCCCCTCAGGGGGTCACTGTTGCACTCAAACCAGCAAAGCACAGTAGTCCGTCACTACTTTATTCTTGGCACCTGTTTATTCACATGCTGTAGAAGAAATGGATTAAGTCAAAGAAGACATAGAATACTTTGGTTGCTCAGAATCCTGAAAAAAACAAAAACAAAAACAAAAAACACAAAACCACCAAAATACTAAAGATAAGTAACTTTGGAGAAAAGATATGAGTATTTGATTCAGTAACTTATGTCTTGAAAACCAATGAGTCATTTAGGGGTAGGTTGGTTAGATGTTGGAATAGGCAGTGATTTACCCCTCCATATCCTCCAGATATTTCTTACTTCGTTAAGTGTCTTCCAGTACCACCATTTGAAAAT